TTGCAAGGGGGAGGCCAGAGCCTACCGGAGACACTTCCTGGGGAAGGTGGGTGCCGCCGCGCTGCCGTCGGCTGAGCCGCCCGGGGCCCCCGTAAAAACTCTAAAACGGGGCGCAAAACGGGCAAAGCTTGCAACGGAGGAGCAAACGCTCACGGTTGCCCTGCTGGTCCCAATGCTGCGACCCGCGTCCGCCCCCGAACAAAGCCCAGCACGGTTTTGCCGTTAACGAGCTGCCTTATCACGCTGTTAACACGTTTTCTCTATTTTTAGGATCATTTAAATTTTTATTGTACAGCCAGCAGCCTAGGGAATCTGATCCTCTCTATTAAGTGTGAAGAGGCAGATGGCACTGAATATTTAAGGATTATACTCAGGTATGGAAAAAAAAAAGCCCCAACAGTCTGCCTTTGCGTGCCCGTTGCTTTGCGTCGGCGTGAAGGCTGCAGGCGAGCGGGCGGCGCGCGGGCCGGCGCGGGTAGGCGGGGGCCGGAGAGCGGAGACTTCTCTCACTTTTCCTGTGCCGGGCCTGCGTCGTCCTGAAAACACCCTGATAACGAGCGCAAGCCTGGTGCCTTGCTAAGTCTGGTGAAACGGGGCGTAAAACTCTCCGCGGGACATCGGATAACACCCACCACGTCTATCCCCGTCCTTCCCGTAACCTGACCAGCGCCTCGGTTGTATCGTTTCCCCTCCAAACTATGAATGTTTTGAGAGCTGGAGAGATGGGAAGAAAAATCGAGACTTTGCTTACTCAGCAGCCCCCAAAGTTCAGCCGAGCATCGTTTCCGAGCGCCTGGAGGAGCGCCCCGCGGCGTGCGCGTTGCCCTGCCGCCGGACCAGCGCGCCGGGGAGCTCAGGGGCACCTCGGCTTCAGGACGTCGCCCGCAGCGCCTCTGTTCCTTCCCCTTTGTTAGGTCTAAGGTGAAGACGTCGCACGAGAGGATCCCCCTGGCCGGCCTCAGCAAGCTCCCCAGCATCCCGCAGATCGCGAAGGTACGCCGCCGGCGCGCGGGGCCGGGCGCGCGCTCCCCGGC